CAAGTAAACAATGTCTCCCAAAGCCAACGTGCGTTTCGGAAAGTCACCGTGCTAAGAGGGAGCGTTCCACACTTATATGGGATTTTTAACTGAAACAGCCATCTTGAAGATCTTTCGGTGCTGTTCACAATCCTGCCCTTCCTAAGACCTAAGCTCCTCTAGCTTCTAAGTCACACGCCAGCGAAAATGGGAAGAATATTTCGGGCAGAGTATTTCAAAGTCACCTCCACACTCATGACGTCGTAATGACGTCATTGCAATCCTGCCATTTAATATGCCATGTAGCGATCAAGGCCAGGAAAAATGATTTTGTCGAGGTGTTCATATTTGGCGTTCGTGAGCACGATTTCCAGATGTAACGGCCGTCAACTGGCTCTCAATCAATGCGGTGCGAGGTACGATGACATAATCAAGCCATGACGCATTGAGGAGCATATTTACAAGGCAGAGAACTTTTCAGTCTGCAACCTTCTCTCCTACTTAAAAAGTATACCAACAGTCATAAATGGGCGTGTTTCATCACATTTGTGCTTGCTCCAATATCTCAACATGTGAAACATTCCCTTTAACGCCACAGGGGAGAAATCAACAGCGCAGCATGACGCTTCGTAAAATTCGTGCGAAGATGGCCTCATATGCGCATTTCTTTTAAAAAAACAGACTATTTCAAGCTCTCGCAGCGTTTATTGCGCCCACATTTCGGCCAGAGTAGTGCATTGTGTACGCAAAATGCACGCGTTGGAAAAAGCAAAGAATATCAAAAGCATTACCCTCATGGTGGTGTGTCCATAGTTTCCAGAGACAACTGGTACCACTGATCGAATCGGACGCGTCTCAAGAGGCTATGAGTTGAAAAGTACAAAAACGGTGGCATCCTCCCCAAAGAGGGGTTTTATCTATACACGGATAACTGTTATCTCGTTTTATGCCGATAACCCTTGTTTCACCCACCACGCGACGCGAAAAGCGTCTCATCGGTAATATTGCAATAACGGTATGGTACAAGGGGCATTGTGAACGAAGTGATAAAAAGTGCGTGATGCTTTAACAGCAAATAGGTAAAAATACTTATAGCGTGGTAAGGAATAGACGCTGTGCGAGCAAAGCCATCGTCGCACGCTGAAAAAAATCACTTTTGCCATGCTGCGCGATTTCAATCCAAATCCACTTGCGATTCAAGCAGCACGCCTTGGTAGTAGTTTGACAACATTAACACTTATTACTTTTAGGTATGAATATAACACGCAGTACCCACAATTGTCTTACTATGCATGACCCCCAACGTCATCGTCATTGGGGTTTTACGACACACCTAGCTGGTCAGGCTGTATGGCGACATCTACCTCTCGTCCTAGTAAGAATGGCACGCACGGCAGGGAATCGAGCCCGTACCTCCGATTTCCGAAACAATTTCTACTATCTGGAGTCCTAGCAGGCACAACCTTTCGCATTGCTTACATACTACGCCTAGTTTGGCAGGACACGGTTTACATGTAATGCTTCGCTTGAACAGCATTCCATTAAGCTTATTTGGTATTTAATTATACGCTGAACAAGGGGAAACATCTCGCAGGAGTGTGATGACGATGACAATAATGATAATAATGATGACTGGAGTTTCAGGGCCCGCCGATGTTGGAACTCATTTTGCGCCCCGGGACTGTCAATTGCGTCCGCAAACATACAAAATGATTTTGCGTCATCACAAGCTAAAACTTGTTAAGCTTTAACATTTTGTTCAGTTTTATCCACTTAAGCCATTGCAAAAATGCAGGTAATTGACAGCGTGCCAGCTGACAAACTGGTGTGTTCCTCTGATACGCGCCGTATGTGGATATCAGTGCTCTATATATTTTACGTGGACGATTGTTAGATATATCAGCTATGGATACATCAGCCTATGGACCATGCTGTTGGTTTGTCCACTGGATCATTACATAATGAGGAAAACTTCATCATTATACTGACTGCTCTCAACACAGCACGATAATGGCCATTCGCGATGTGTGCACCTTGCAGGAACACTAGTGTCTCTCAGAGGAATATCTCTTCATTTTCAGTATTACAGGAGATCCGCCTCACGGTGATCTCCGGTCTTCCGCCCAGAATAGCGGAAGCTACAGCTATAGCTTCTGCGTCCCATCGGACGAACTCAGTCGTTTCTGCACGTGCTGTCTCGCACGCTACGCGAAACTAATTCTGGACAGACCATCAACAGGCATTCGGGGAACGACACGGGAGAGATAAAAAGATAAAAAGAAAGTATCGATAAATGGTCATGTTAGCAGCAGCGTAATCACACCTCGTGGTTCGTACGTCAAAGATTCGTACTTGTTCCCTAAGCCCTCTTCCGTCTAAGTGACTCCTCTTCGCCTGAATGACTCCTCAGACTGTCCAGGCATCATTCCAGACTGCACCCGAATGTTGCTCTCTAAACCGGACTGAGGATCTGGTGAGCCGGCCAGTGTGCATCACCTTCCTCCCACGCACAGCAGCAGGCTGGACAAAGCAGACAGAAAGTGCGCGGCCCGCCGAATCACCTTCCTCCCACGCACAGCAGCAGGCTGGACAAAGCAGACAGAAAGTGCGCCGCCCGCCGAATCACCTTCCTCCCACGCACAGCAGCAGGCTGGACAACGCAGACAGAAAGCATGAACATATTGAAAGCCTTCAGGCACCTAAGATTGCGATTAGGCCAAGCGGTGCACAGGGACTGGGACACGGTCTGATGGGACACAGGGACTGGGATACGGTCTGGTGGGACACAGGACACAGTTTCACTTTTTCCGCGCTTAGTACGTTAGGTAGTCTATAAAAAACTGACAAATGCGGCATCATGAACGGACAGGCACATTTAATGCTATTGAGATAGCAATCCGTTACATGCAAAATCACTAGGTCAGCTGAACAAGCTACATATACCGGATCGAGGGGATGCCAACGCACCAGCGGTGTCCAACTCAGATAGACTACGCCTATTTCTGGCCCATCTAAAGATGAATTTTACGCTGGCTGTTGCAGATTGCATGATAAGGCGTGGGCTTTTCAAGGATCAAGATTATGCAACAGCGAACTGCTATGAAGTTGAAACAGGAGCGTTTTAACAGTAAATGAAGGCCAAGGGCACAAGTTGTGAAATGCAACCGATGGTGGCCGCGAGGAACATTTGGTTTGTACTGTAGGATGCCGAATCGTTACACCTTAGGAAATAGCCTTTTTCGCGCCGTACGGGCTGCTTTATTCTGGATGTGCTCATGGCATGTCAGTGGCCATTTTCAGCCAGCAGTGTTTAACCTCCAAAGCGGCGCTGTAACTGTCCGTACACTGTAGTGAAATGTTACATTTTTAGCTGCGCTAGAACAAGTACTGTCACAGTACATCGAACATCGCTCCACGCTGCACGCATCCGAATTTCTTCCACGCACTCGCATGTTTCGAAGCATGCCACCGACACGTTCAGGTTTGGCACACTTGTTGCTTAACACCTTCCGTTGACACTTCGCCGACCTCGTTCCCTGCGCGGTACAAAACGGTCCGGTAACACACTCAAGTGGCACACTCCAGTGACACACTCCAGCGGCACACTCCAGTGACACACTCCAGCAGTACTCTGGTCCAGCCTCGCCAGAAACAGCGGTACACTTGGTCCAGGCCACACTTCAGCCGCACCATGCGCAAAACACAGAATACACAAGCAATTTTAGTTGCTGAGGTTTTGCACACAGACGCGGGAGGTGACAGCTCAATGGCAGCTGTGTGGAGCTAACTCGGCCAGCATATGTACACACACGGGAACGCGCCACCCATTTTTAGCTGGAGGGGGAGGTGACATACTTTTCCAGGGGGCCTCCTGCACAAAATGGGTCCTCTTCACGGGGGCCTGCGGGGCAGTGCCTTTGTCAAGGATGTTCCTCTTACATGTGGTATGCACCAATATGAATGCAAATAAACGTCAACTATACCAACATCCGAGCAATCTATTATGATAAACACAGCGATTTCCAGATCCAGCAAAGGGTCCCTCTATCTCCACACAGAGCCTCCATAAAACCCCTTCTGATACGAAGAGGACCGCCTAATCCAGAACAGGATCTTTCCGACTGACAGAGGGATCTCCAAGTCCGGCAAAGAGGCTCACTCTCACAAAACAGGGCATTCTAATCGGGTGTGACGGCCTCCTGGCACACCAGGGCCCTCCTCATTTAGAATAGGGGTCCCATGACATGTAAACGATGCCTGCTAATCCAGAACAGGAAACCCCTGGTTTGTTACGGGGACATACTAAGTCAGCAAGAGGCCTTTATACCACAAAATGGGGTCCTTTGATCCCAATCCGCTTTTTCTGAGACCAAGCAGTACCCCTTGCACGCACACGCATGTTTCAAAGCATGCCACCGACACGTTCAGGTTTGGCACCCTTGTTGCTAAACACCTTCCGTTGACACTTCGCCGACCTCGTTTCCCGCGCGGCACAAAACGGTTCGGTAACACACTCAAGTGGCACACTCCAGTGACACACTCCAGCGGCACACTCCAGTGACACACTCCAGCAGCCCTCTGGTCCAGCCTCGCCAGACACAGCAGTACACTTCGTCCAGGCCACACTTCAGCCGCACCATGCGCAAAACACAGAATACACATTCAATTTTGGATGAACAGGAAAAAACCGTCAGTTTGGGAAAGAGGAGCCTCACAAAATTTTGAGGGGACAAAACATACTCTCCACCCGCCGGCAGGGGGCAACTGTCCCACATGCACTTCTGCCGCGCCGCCCCTGGCCACGCGCATGCACATACATATCAGCCATGTTAGCCATCATTTAATGTCCAAGCTCGCGTGCTCCCGAATCGGTGGAATCGGTGGAATAAAATAAGCCAGAACAGGCCTTATGTTTTGTCCAGATAATATATGGGCTGCGTGGTTATCCTCTCCACTTCGCAGAGAAATGCAGCTGTTAGAGGGAACGTCATCATCCCTTGAATCACGGACGGCGGAGTTCTCTACGACGTCCCCTGCAAGTTCCTGTCAGTGTCCGTTCGCCTGTAGATTTCCGTGGTCTTCCAGACCATGGTCGTCGAGAGCAGCACGGCGAGAACCAAAGCATAGTTGAGCCAAAGTGTGTGTTCACTCAGCGGCTTGATCAGGAAGAGCAGGAGCGATAGAGCGCTGATAACGTTCATGCTGACACTCATGACGGCGCCGATCACGTCAGCAGACACAGGGTAGCTGAGCTCAACAGCATACTCGTACAGCAGAGGCGATGTCGAGTACGTGAGCGAAAGGCAAAGCAGTGTTGAACAATACAGCCTGGGCAGCGAGAAAGACAGCCACTGGGCGGCCAGCGCCAGTTGCCAGCAGTAGCTCACAGCTGCACCGAGGAAAAGGCCCATAACCGTGGCCTTCATGTGGCCTCGGAATATGTCTGTCAGGCGGGCTACAAACAGCGCTGCCACACAGCTGATGACACACGCCCAGAAGCCGAGCCAGCCGGCGTCATCCTGACTGACGCCCAGCGGAGCGACGTTGATGTTGAACACGGAGAAGTAGGCGGCCTGGACGCCCCCCGCACAGGAGTACGCAGCCACTACCCACGGCAGGTCAGGAGCTTTCGCCGCCTGCCGCAGCCCGCTCCAGAACGACGCGGTGGCCGCAGCGGCGCTGACGGATGGTGGCAGCGGCGGCCGCGACGGGAAGTACACGAGCGCCGCCAGGAACAGGGTAGTCACCAGGCCTGCCTCCACGTACATCAAAGTCATGATGTCGCTGCGGGCGGCGTCTAAGTCCGCGGCCGGGTCGGCACCCCCTGGCTGCCGCACGATCAGCAGCCCGATGAGAAAGGCGCAGCTGCCGCCCAGCTGGCTGGCGATGCTGGGCAGTCCAGTAGCCGTGGTGCGCTGCTCGGGCGGGAACCACAGCGCCGAGATGTGGGGCGGCGTCGCCATGGCCATGATCCCGGCGATGCCGTTAAGGAAGGCACCGGTGAAGGCGGTGGCCGTGAAGGCGGTTTGCTGAGATGAAACGCAACGGATGGCTGTGCCGACCGCCATGTTACCGGCCATGAGCAGTATAGGCGGGTCGCACGCCGTACTTGCTCAACACCCAACAAAAGGGCACGAGGAATACCACAAAAGTTATTGGGCCCATGTTGGCCAACATGGAGATTGTTGTGTTGCTCCAGTCAGGAAAGGCAGATAGGGAGGCGGGAGTGACTGGGCCGAACGTGTTCCAAACCATACACTGGAAACAGCCCAGCAATGAGAACACGAGCAGGATGTACCAGCGTCGCGTGTACGTCTTGAGCGGGCCCGAAGACGTCGGGGCAACCGTGTGGTTGGCCGGTATGGCAGACACATGGTGCACAGACACACGATTACTTTCTCTATTTGCCTCCGCTTCAGAGCCTGGAAAGAAAAATTAATTAATGAAAAACGGCATGCATGTCAACTGCTTGCATGTATTGATTGTATTGCACACATAATTACGCACAACACAACTGGCATGTGACGGCAAACAACTAATGACAGCACGAAGATTTTGGACCAGTGCTGTGCTAATGCATTGAGCTGGGAAGGTCCCACTTTGGCAACAGCTCCCCCCAGACAATACGGGTTATTTCCCGGAGGCGGCGAACGACATGTGGCACTGCAATACGACGGTGAATAAGGCAGGGTCCCAATATGCGAAACAATTAAGCTATCACCACGCTGGAGCCTAATTGGACCTTTTCATATCAATCAGGGGTGCTGCAGCTGTCGCAAACCGTTGTCCTCATGACAACCGCCATAGCATCTCTACTGTCGTGTATAAAAGAGCGTTTGTGATTGGTTCAGCAGGCGGCAAAGGCCTGTTTTCGAAAAGCGAGCTAGTTGAAGTTTCAACCAGTGGGTCACTATGGACCACGTGATAATCCCATTCCCAAAGCCAAAGTGCGCCTAGAAGAGAGCCACCGTGGATATGCCATAGGAGCGAAACCAAAACTATAGCATAACGTTTCCGTTGAATTTGCGTGATAATGGCCTCATGTCCGAATCTTTTTGTCCGAACAGAATATTTGAAGCAATCGCAGCATTTACTACACAAACATTTGACAAAGTGTGTTGGAAGCAGTACAGAACACGCGCGTGAAAAAGCAAGGCAAATGAAACGTATTGCTCTCACAGTGGTGAGAAGAGAATCCAATGTGACTTCTCCCGCAGGAGCCCAAGAGCCCAATTACTTCAAACCGAAATTGTGGGCTAATCAAAAGGTTTTCGAGAAAACTGGTGATACTGAATAATTTGTATGCATCTGATCTAGCAATTAGTGAAAAGCAAAAGCGTGACATACTCCCTTCCAGAATAGCGCCATAACCGAGTATGGAAATGTCAGTAAACAATACAAAGTCAAGGACAAATATGCAAGAACGCCACGGCAAAAGGCTAAAAAGCACGCGCATAACCATATTTGGCTTATGCAGACAGTGCACCATTAGCACCACACCTCTCGACAAGTCAGAGTACGACAAATGAGTCAGCCCGCCCGCTACAGTGGCAATTTTGACACGTCCAATCTGGCGGGAACTAACGTCATAAAGACATCCCTTGACGCAACCAAGCGATGACGTAATGAGGAACACATTACGAAATAGTGAAATTTGTGGTTTATACCAGTCTTTTATGCTTCAAAGTAAGCCAATAGTTACAAGAACGTAAATTCAATCATGTTTGATGCTTCCCTTAAATCTTCAAATGCGGGACATTCCCTTTAAGCTACGGAGCAACGTGGCTTGGCGACCTTGGCAAGTAAACACGGTGAGCCATCGAACACCTCAGCCTGGTGCCAGCAGCACAAAAGGAAATACCTGAAAGGGAATGCTAAAATGGGAAAAAACGCTCAGGTCTGACAGGTCTTTCGTCAACCGAGCTCAACCCACTTCAGCGTGGATAAGTTCACATCCACTCCGGAGGTTCCACTTCGTAGGTCCAAACATTAACATGCATAATTGTGTTATCTGATTTATATGTGATGGATTATCCACCAAATGGCATATATCAACAGACACTTACCTGCCTCTCCAGTCATGTCACCTATAGTTCTGAGCACGCTGGGACCTATCTCCTTCAAGAACGCACTGTCGCGCACGGCCAAAACTGCATCCGTGTCATTGTCTAGAGACATCGATGACGATCGGACCTCCACGCGTGCGCTGCCGCGGCCGGGCCACTTGTAAATCGGCCGAGGTTCAGCGCGTCCTTTCCAATGGGCGGCTGCCACAGTCCGGCCACACCCAGAAGTCCTCTGAACATCTCAACAAGGCCAGATAGATATAGGGGTAGCCAAGCGTTAATACACAGATAAGCCAGCTTAAACTCCTGCCGCGGTCAGCCTTGAGACGCTGCTGCAGTAATGGACATAAATCGAGGTCTGAAAAATTTGGCTCCAGGTGGTAACTGACTGCGCCTAAATTTCCAGGATGGTATTGGGTACAAACAGTATCGAGTAACAATGGGCAGCATCCAAATCGTAAAATGAACTCCTTTTCGACCAATTCTTACTCAAGTTTATACAGGTGACCCTTCCATGCAACAGGTAATAATCCATAGATAATTTAACTCATACTAGCGCCCTGCTATGCTGCGGCACCACGATACACGCATTCCTAAAAACATCTCCGGCTACGTGAAGACAAGATCGGAGACGGCTGCGAATCGCATGACACTATCTCTGTGCAAGCTGTCACCATTTCTGATCACTGCCTCCTTGACGTCCGTTCCGCGTCGAGCCCCGAGCATGTCCGTGCCCGGCACGAGACGACAGCGGCGCCCCCTATGCGGGCGGACGGCGTCGGTCGCGAGCGTGGACTCACCGAGCCGGCAGAACTCGGCGGCCACGTTGAGGGCCAGCTGCTCACACCAGGCCTTGGTCGGACAGAACACGAGCACGCCGTGGCCGGCCGTGACCGTCTCCAGGCAGAGGTCGGTCACCAGGTCCGAGTCACTCTGCCGACGGACGGCGCGGTCGTTGGGCGGCACTCTCGTCAATCACCGAATGGCGCTCATTCCGAAGGGCGACAGTGACATCGCTTTAGGTCAGCTCCAGGTCAGGGCCGCTCCGGACTGGCCGCATACGACATTCGCTTGAGGTTATAAAACGACCGCTTGCTTCCCCACAGTCGGTAAGATTCGGGGAGCCAACCAAATAACGCTTCCAATGTCCAAGCGTCCCCGCTCTGCGGTATTGCCGCACCCGGCTACTTTTGCGTACCGCGCGAAGCAACAGGGACCCGCCAGAGGCCAGAGGGTGTGCAAGGCTTCAAGATCACACCAGACCTGGCCGCCATGAGGCTGTCGGAGACGGAAAGGCCGCCTGTCGGAGCGCCAGCAGTTGGGCGCTCCTCGCTCCACGTACCCCCGTGCCGAGCGAGGTGTCGACGGCGCGGACCGGCCGCAGCTCCTCGTCGTACACAGAGGCGGCCAGCTTGGCGTACTGGCGCAGCGGCACCGGCCGGAAGGCGGTCACGTAGAGACCGGCCGACAGCCAGCCGGCCAGCAGCGCCAGGTTCGGCAGCGTGGCCGACATGCCCACCAGCTGGATACGGCGCTCCGGACTGCCGGTCGGCCACGGGCGGTCAGCAGGGGAGGCAGCGGCGAGGGCACTGGGACTCCCGAGGAGGAAATCGTGCACATTTACGCCTTTATCATTTACCCGCGTCCCACGTACCACATCCTACAGCTTATTCCATAGTCATTTCGCTATTCCATCGTCATTGCGTCAGAGCAGCCCTATGTTTGCGGACGCTCTATCAGTATAAGTGCAAAGCAACACAGTAGCAATGCGGGTCACGACGGGCAAGGATTGCGGTAACGTTTCGTGACCTCCAGAACTGCACATTTCGACCGCCTCCCCCCTCAATTGCCTCCCTGCCCATGAAGAATCACGTGACGCCCACCTCTCAGTCGCCCTGTTCATGAAGAGCAGCTTGGTGAGTAGCACCTCCAGGAGGTAGCCGCGGCGTGGGTCCCCGAGCAGGTGCAGCTCGTCTGCTACCAGGCAGCCGACCCGGAACAGCGTCCGCTCCTCCATCAGCCTGCAGCACCAGCGCCGGCTCGCCGGCTGATTATGCCGGCCGCATCCTCCAAACAACGTGGCGGCAGCGTGGCGGCCCGGTTTGCACCGCATGGCTGCAGCGGTGGCACGTGATGCAGCGAAGGCTGTAGGTGCTGCGGCGGAGACGCCCAGACGATGGGCGGGACGCGGTGGAAGGGCCTCGTCATCCTTCTAGTGACGATGGCGATGGTCGATGGCGCCCACCATTCTCAGCGGTTCGATGTTGGGAAAGTCGGGTGGCTTACATTGCGAGAAGTGTAGAGAAGGGATGCAACGAAGGTGGGTGGGTGCCAGGAGGGGAAGCACAGTCACACAGCCACAGCTGCAAACCCCAGTGGCAGGCGGAGACGCTCACCTGTTGACTAGACTGTTGGCTTTCTCGATGGTGCACACGGCCACATCCACGCGCTGCAGGCCGCCGGGTGGCGCGTGGCTGCCGTGGAAGCCGTCCACTCTCAGCCCGGAGCCGGCACACACCCCCTGCCGGTCAGTGCTCAGAGTCAGGCCAAGGTCAGGGGGTTCAGGGGTCAGGGGTCAGAGGCCAGGAGTCGGAGTCAGAGGTTCGAGATCCGTTGTCAGGGGTCTGGGTCAGATGTCAGGGGTCAGGGGCCGGGGTCGGTGGTTCTGGTCAGTGATCAGGGGTTTGGGGTCAAAGGTCAAGGGTAAGACGTCATGGTTAGGGGGCGGGACGCTGAGGCAGGGACAGCGAGGCGCCAGCACCGCATAGCTGGTTACAGGGGTGTGAGACCGAGCGGTACGTGTCGAGAAGTGTCCAGTCAGGGACGACACAGCACCCAAACACGGACAAAACACGGACTGCATCGCGATGACACCACACAAGTCATACGCAGATTATCAACAAAACGCAGACTGCATGCACGAAAACATGAGATGCACGCAGGACTGGTGATGCTCTCGGCGCCGCTCTGCCTGCTTCATCGCGCACCTAATTGTACAAATTGCACCAGTCTATGGCCAAACTGCATGGTCAATTGCTATCCTATCAATTCCTATATTCACGAACCACATTCCACACCAGCCTGTATTCGCCCACATTGCGTCTGTTTCTGAGGTTCATGTCCATTCCATGTCTTGTGTACTGTCCATTCTATGTAAGTGCACCTGAGTGCTAGGAACTATTGATAGGAGATATCCTCCTTTCGGCAAGCATGGCGTATTCCACACTCGGTGCGCCTTGCTAGAAATTAATACCTAGCTTTTTGCATAATATTTTACCCAAGCGTCGAAACCTTCCAAACACCTCTTGACAGTTGCCTTCCATGTTCAAAATCGAGGAGCAAAGTCGACATTATTTCAGTTGGCCTCTCTGCTCATAGCGCGTAGGACAGGAGCACTCGCAGAGTAGTCAGCGGTCCAAAGTGGGCGCTGCCCCTGCGTACCTGCAGGTAGAGCGTCTTCTCGCGCGCCAGCGACACGAAGGGCACCACCACGATCGCCTTCCGCTTCTGCTGCGTCACCCGGCGTAGCATCAGCACCTCGGCCACCAGCGTCTTGCCTGCGGGCGCAGGCATGATAACGGTACAGACTCCGGCGGCGCAACGTGTCTTCTCAGCGACAGCGGGAGGGCCGTGGCGACTGTTCGAGCCTGGAGGGCACACCGCACGCTGCGCACAACGTTTGACCTTCCTCCACACGGGAACTTCATACACGGCAGACCGATCTCAACTGGGCGCTGCGCCACAAGAGCAAGATCAACTGAGAGCGATCAAACCTCGGAAGTTGTATGCATAACCCATTGGTAAATGCAGCGAACAGATGGTATATTTCACAACTTGTAAAGGGCACAACTATTCCGTATTCACATGGGCGACACTGTCAGAGTCCCCACGACAAACAGCGCTGATGGGGACATAAGCCGCGCATAAAATGTCGCTTACTGTACTTGGTATAGATTCGGTAGCTCCGCGCGGAAGTCACCTACAAGGCTCAATTGACAAAACGCTAAAAACGTTAGTAGTGCATTAAGCACAGATGGGTTGTCACAACTAACAAGCCAATGCGCTAGTGCGTCGTGTTGAATCCTGACAGCGAAATGCACTAAGTTCGCCGCACTGGGCGATTCAGTTCATAACATGCCTGGAGATATATATGGTTGACATGAATAAATGCAATCATCGCCGGCCAGAAACCATGTTCGGACGAGCCCCATACGAGGTAATGCTCTACTCACGCCATTAACCTCGGCATTGGGCCTGAGCCAAGAAAAAAAGATCAGTGGACAGCACAATACCCCAGTACGCCAATGATACTAGGTTCGACACATCCACGGATCATTTACAAACCAAAGGCTTTAGATTCCACCGCTTATTTAAAAACGGACCTTGGATCCTGGTCGCTATTTGGTCTTTTGTATGCAACAACTCTGGATAATGCTTCCTGTTGGTTTTTGTATAATCCGACCCTACATCCTGGTTATATTTTTCAGTTTGCAAAAACAGCTTTGGATCCTGGTTTCCGTTGGCTCTTATACTGATACCAGACCCCGGATCAAGTTGGAGGAAAAACTATAACATGAACAACGCTGTAAACGATGGTTATGACCCAGACCGTAACATCTGTCTCCACTTCGCAATGTCCACCGCCGGCTTTCTTTTGTAGCGTGATGATCTGTAACTAACGAGCTTCCGTGGTGGTTTAAGCTTACCTCGGGATACTTTATTTCTTCAGGTTTGTAATTACGCGCTCGGGTGGGGTCAGTTTGCCCCCGCCCCGAAGTGTTTCCGAAATTATTCCAGAATAGCGTGGCGTAGCCGCGCCAATTGTGGCACAGCTGTGTAGACAATTGAATAGCGGATTGCTTGGTACAAAACAATTTAGATATACCTGATAAGGTCCCTGACCTACGGCAGGTCAGTCAGGCCATGGATTCAACGAACATAATTTCTAGGGGATCGTTCAATTTGATAAAACAACGGAGTGTTAGACGACGCCACACATTTTTGTGATAGTTTCTTAGGCAATACAACAATTGAATTAACAAACTGCATTGACACGGAGTCTTGTATGAAGGTCACACCAAAGTCAAATCTGGTGCTTATTTTGAATTTATTCATAACAGGAAGGGAATTCTACATCTTCCATGGACTTATTAACGGTCAGAATACGTCGCCGACTAATGACCCCAGGTCAACGTTGTGTTTGTAGAAACGTACTGTCTACGGCAATCCTTGACGCTTATTCAAACACAAAAATCAAAGCAGCCTTGTATGATTTTGGTCACTATGACTTTCGAAAGGTCACACAGGGCCAGTGACCTTAGATAAGCACCTGTGAACTTTTGCTTAGAACAGGCATCTAGGTTCACAGTGGGTGCATGAAAAGGGACTGGGGGCACTTTGGACACTAATCTAAAGTTTGACCTTGTCCGAATTTATATGACTCGTTCATGACCGAAGAACCACAAATATCGACAGAAGTGAGTTCACGTACAGGCCAACACACCCGGTGAATTTGGTGTCTTTAACTCTCTTAGTTTTTTTAGATCTGAAGGGGTCAAATTAACCTCCTCCCCCAACCAACCCGAAGGAAGGGCACGCAACCGGTCACTAGGGCGCGTGTTAACATGTTTTCAAAAGTTGAAAGCTTAGCTTGTTAAAAAATGTTCGAAAGTGATATCGGAAGTAATGTATTTTTTAGAGAAAAAATGTCACATTCATCAACTTATCGTGAGTTCTTGCTGGATCTGTGTAAATTGCAAGAAAGGTCAGACTCCTGAAAAATGCCACAAGCAGGAACCCAGTACCTGCTGAATCTCTGGACTGAAATGGACACTGATTCCTGCTGGATCCCCTGACATTTTTTCGTGTTCGATCTCATTGCCCGCTGTGGCAATCCAATGAACATAGGTTTCGTCCCGGACCAAGCTGGATCCTGGTCTTTGCCGGATGCCTCGGTACATATCCAGGTTGGACCTTGTTTCTTTCTGAGTTCCAGCATAATAACATGCTCATCTTGGTCCATTCTGGATGGCTCGGCATTTTTCCAGGCTCATACCTGGGGTCTTACTGGTTCAAGAATGGGGTAGGAACAGAGGCCAAGAGAGAAATATCCGGAACTAGCCAAGTATCCGCTTGGGCCTCAATAGGTCAGCTAGTCACTTACACGGACTCAACTCTCAACTTCAACAGGTACGACATTCAAAAATCAGTTTAGGCCATGGGTGCTGCTTATCGCATGGGCGTCTATCCAAAAACACGTTAAAAAAACACGTCAAATAACGTGTGCTTGCGAACACGAAGCAAAAGGTCGCCTTCCTGCCAGCCGCCATTTCATGGGAATTTCGAGCAAGATATGGTCAGAACTAAGTTCTCATCGGACGCTGCGTCAAATGGTCGTCTAAGAGCCGATGTAAAATAAGTTAGCATACGACGCTGACTTTGTATGACCTGAAAATGGTCATTGACCTGCCCAAAGTGATCTGTTTTTTTGGTGAACTTCTATTATTCAACAACCTCGCACACATTTGTGACTACCTATGTCGTGAAATTGCGAAAAGACACAAGGCGTAAAATGAGTCGATGTGGCATGGCAGCGGGTTACAGAAATGTCGTGTCAGCTTATAACATGCGACATGGTCTGAGATCACATCCTTCAAAAATATGCCTTAAACGTGTTCTCAATTGCACTTATGGGGACGACATTGCACCTTTTTGTTTAACGTACCGGAACATTGCTTTTTCGGGCAGGCAACTGTCTGTCTGGCAAAGGTGAATGGGGTAAGGAATGGAAGCAAGATGCGTTCGGTGAATAATCTTAACGAAGCCATTTGGGTGACATTAGCTACGACTTCGATTTGTGTACATGGCATCGCCATGACTGGAGAGCGCAAGCTTGCCACCACATCAGCGTCAAACGATTCCTTTACACATGAACGACCGCAAGCGCAATATATGTGACACATGTAAGCAGTAGTACTCCACGCCCCATCCACCCGTTCCTTGCGAAAGTGAGGTTCACCGCTCCGACCCCAGATTGGACAAGGCCGTCTGCTAGCAGCGGGGAGGGGCAGAGGCGTCCTTGCACCGGCGGGGCTCCGGCGAGGGGCCACCTCTCAACGGCCGGCCCTACCGGAGGAGGTGGGCGCCGAGTAGACCAGGTTGCCGCCGGCCAGCGCGTCGCGGTCAGCAGACACTCGGCCTGCCAGGTGTACAAGCGACGCACCCCCGCCTCGGCGTAGTTCTGCAACGCATCAACCACCGCGGACGCGCCGATCAGGCGGAGCGGTGCGCTGGCGACGTCAGGCCGGCGTTTGGAACAAGGCGGGACTGATATGTAGAGCACGGCTGGGTTGGTACAGGGCGCAGAGCACGGGAGCACATCAGAGCACAGGAGCACAGCACAACGCCACAACAGGGCAGAGCGCCAACACACGCAGATGGCTATAGTCATACCGGGCGCCACTATGGATTGAAAATGGAAAGCGAACGCTGAGTCTGCGGTGCAG